GAAATTCAATTATTTTAGAAAAATTTTAATAAAACTCTTGGCAAAATTTAACAGGAATTCAATTATTTACAAAACTTTTAATAAATTTTTTCGAAATAATTCAATTATTTTCATAAGTAATAAAATTTTCACAGGAACTCAATTATTTAAAATACAAAATTTCATAAAAATTTTCGAGAAATATTAACTATTTAAAAAGATTTTTATAAAATTCGTCGCAAGAATTCAATTATTTAAAAAAAATTTAACAAAGTGCTTTTCAAGAATTTAATTATTTTTATTCAATTATTTAGGTACATAATTAATAAAATTCTTCACAGAAATTCGATTATTTTTAAAAACTTAAATAAAATTCGTTGGAAGAATTAAATTATTTTTAAAAGTAATAAAATTCTTCGCAAAAAGTCAATTATGTTCAAAAATTAACAAAAAATTCTTTGTCAAAATTTCAAGTATCTTTATAAATAATAAAATTCTTCTCTGAAATTCAATTACTTTAGACAAATTTGAATAAAATTCTTAGGAAAATTTAAAATTATTTTCATAAATAATAAAACTCATAGCAGGATTTTAATTATTTTTAATACAATTTTAATCGAATTCCTCAAAAAATGTAGGTAATTATTCTTAAAAAATTTTATTAAAGTCAAAAGAATTCAATTATTTAAAAATTTGTTGATAAAATTCTTTATGAGAATTCAATTTTAACAAATATATTCAATTATTCAACAAATTATTTATTTTTTAATTTAAATAATTTAATACTTCTAGAATTTTGTAATAAAAATTGATTTAAAAATGAATTACCGAATAATCGATTTATTATTTATGAAAATAATTGAACTTTTGAATTTTATTTTTTTATTATTTATTATTATTATTTATTATTATTATTATTATTATTATTATTATTATTATTATTATTATTATTATTTATTATTATTTATTATTATTTTTTATTTATTATTTTTTATTTTTATTATTTTTTTTAATTTTATTACATTTTTTTAAATAATTGAATTTTTTGAGAAATTTTACTACTTGTAAAAATAATTGAATTCTTGCGAAGGATTTTATTTGGATTTTTGTAAATAATTAACTTTTTTTTTGAGAATTATTATGGTCAGGGAAAAAGGCAAAATCAGTCAGGAAAAAGTTTGGAAATTAGGGAAAAATAAAATTAAATATTTGTGGCAACCCTGTAAATTAATTAATTTATTTGTTTACAACAAAAGATCAAAAATTCTAGTTTTCATAAGAAAAAGTAACATTTTTAAAATCAAATATTTTATTTTCTGAATTTCATTTCTAAATTCGACAGAATGGCTAATTTTCTTTTTTTTTTAATAAAATCCAAACGAAAATTGTCAGCTTGTGTGAAAAATATGTTTTTCTATTTTTAAACAAAAAACATAAAGAGAAAATGAGAGAAATGTTGATGCAATGAATGTTCTAGTTCAAGGTCCTTGTTCATCTGAAAGTGTAAATTGAATATGGGATAAAAAATATTTTTTTAACTTTTTTTTTAAACTAATTTTTTTTTTGAAACAATTTTTTTGGGGGGAAGAATTAATTTTTTTTTCTTTGAAGAATATCTGTTGGTCGATCGTTGTCTAAAATTAAATGTTAGATAATCTCTGCATCGCCTGAAAGTCGCGTCTCGTCGACAGTTACTAAAACGGTAGCACTTGCTGTTCAGTTGGTTTCTTGTGGGTAGGAAAAGAATCGCATAGGATCTCCAAGTGACTGGGCCGAAAGCTTCGAAGCTTGTGCGATGGTGATGGTGAAGAAGTGTAGCGCAGCGTGCCAGAAGCTCCCTACCTCGTGTCCCTCTCGTCTAAAGTCGCTTAAAGTTCGAGTCCGCGTGTTCTAATATGGCCACCGGGTGTCCAATTACCTAACTCATCTCTTCTTTTTCTTCTTCTCTTTCTTCTTATTCTTCTTTCTTTCTTTTTTCTCTCTTTTCTCTTTGCTCTTTCTTTTTTTTTCCTTTTCTCTTTATTTTCTTTTTTACTTTCACTTTCCTTTATTTTTCTTCTCTCTTTTTTCTCTATTTTTCTTCTTTCTTCTTCGTTTACTATTTTTTTTATTTATCTCTCAATTTTCACCCGTTCATTCTGTCTTACATTTCTTCATTGCAGAATTTAATTTTTTTTTTATTATTTATATTATAGAATTTATTACAAGAATATGTTATAGAATTTATTAATTATCAATATCGGTTCTAATCGATAACTATTTATTGCATTAAAATTCTATTTTTTAAATATTTAATTTATTAATCAACCTGAAATTTAAATTAAAATACCTGAAGTTGTCGTTAACGCCTAGCGTCGAAAATTATTTTTCAGGATTTTTGTAAATAAATATTTCCTCAGTGTCACTTGCTTTTATATTCTATTTACTTATTTTTTATTTTTTTCCATTTTATTTTTCTATTATAGTTTTCTGTTTTCTATTTTGTTTTGTGAATTTCTATTGTACTTTTCTATTTTCTATTTTATTTTTCTATTTTGTATTGTATTTCTCTGATTTCTATTTAATTTTTTTTATTTTCTATTGTATTTTTCTGTTTTCTACTTTATTTTTCTATTTTGTATTGTATTTTTCTGTTTTCTATTTTATTTTTCTATTTTCTATTGTATTTTTCTGTTTTATATTTTATTTTTCTATTTTCTATTGTATTTATCTGTTTTATATTTTATTTTGTTATTTGCTATTATATTTCCTTGTTGTCTTTTTTATTTTTCTGTTTTATATTTTATTTTGTTATTTGCTATTATATTTCCTTGTTGTCTTTTTTATTTTTCTGTTTTATATTTTATTTCTTTATTTTCTATTATATTTCCTTGTTTCTTTTTTTATTTCTCTATTTTATATTACATTTTTTTGTTTTCTATTTTATTATTCTATTTTATTTTTCTACTATACGACTCTAAAATATTTTTAAAGCAGTCTTAGAACCTAAAACTATTGAAAAAATATTTTAAATTATTTGAATTTCTAGACAGAAAAAAATTTTCTATTGACGCTTAGCGTCGACGCAAACTTTGAGGATTTTAATGAATTTTTTGATTAAATTTATTTTTCACTTTATAAATATTTTCTCAACATTTTCTGGAAAATTTTAAATAAGAAAATGTTGGCAATATTCAAAAAATATATTTTTTCTATTTAAATTGTTGTTACAATTTTTCTTTAGAGTTGTTTCGAATATTTTACAAGAATATTTTTCTAATATTTTTTAGAGTCATTTTAAATATTTTACAAGATTATTTTGCAATATTTCTTTAAAGTTCTTTCCAATATTTCACAAAAACTAGTTTCACAAAAATATTTATGCCATGTTCATTTTAGAAAAAATATCTTCTCATTAATTATGAGAATTTTAATATTTATTCTTAAAAATGTTAGCAATAATATTTCTTTCCATAACAATTGTTTTTGCAATATTTATTTCAAACATATTTCATAATATTTATTTTAAATATATTTTACAATATTTGTTGTAAATATTTTTTAAAAATATTTCTAGTTGATATTTTTGTAAAGTTTAAAAAAATATTCTCGAAATATGTTTCGGTTTATTTGTTTAACTAGTAAATGGAAATTTAATATTTAAAAAAATATTCTTGTAATTTTTAAATTTAAAACAAACACAATATTGTCTAAAATTTTTTTAAGTATTCAAAAAACGTTTTTCAATCTAAAAAAGCTTATTTTCATCACTGTCACTTTTTAGTTTCTTCACAAATAGAAGTGTTTTCTAAAATCCTTAAAATAGAAATTTTATTTTATTTTCAATATAAACTTATTTGATTAATAAAGGAATTTAATTTACTATTACTAATAACTTGAAGAAAGTATCAGATTGACTTTGATTGAGAATTGCTAAATTTAAATCAATCAGCTAAATTTAAATAAATTTTATTCTTAAATTTACATACCTAATAATTAAAATTATTATTTGTATTTATTTATTTCTTTTGCATTATTTCTATTCTTTAAAATTTGTTTACTTTTTTTTTTCATATTATATTCTTATTTATTCTTATATTCAAATAAATTCAAATTTTTCTCCATATCAAATAATTCTTCAAATAATAAATAATAAAAAAAAATCCACTCCATTAGAAATAAAATAAATCTTTCTCTGTGTTTATAAAATATTTTTTATACTCTATAAATTCTCTTTTGCAAAAAAGATACATTTTCTTTTGAAATAAAAAAAAAGTAATACTATAACGATTTTTTTCTTTCGTTTTTTTTTTTGGAAATTTGTTTGAAATCAAAGTGCACAATTGAAATAAATTGGAAGTCCTCTCGAAAAAGAGGGAATTGAAAATTGAAAAAAGTTGAAAACTATACTATATCTATTCTTTATATATACAGAGAATATAAAACATATTGTGAAAAAATCGATAGTAGAGGATAAAATAAAAGTTGCATGCGGAGACAAATTTTATTCAGTGACCGCGCGCATCAATCCAATTTTTTATTTACATCAAATATCATTTTATTGAGTGAAAATAAAAATCGAATTGATATTGAAACAAAGTTATTATTACAGAAAGCTTATGATCAATGAGAATATACACTTTATTTTTTTCGAAATTTATTTTATCACTTAGAGAAAATTATTGTATTTTATGCCTTTTTTCCGGGGAAACAAATTTTTCTTAATTGATTTTTATAGCAATAATTAATTGATTTTTTTGTAGTTACAAAACTTATATTTTCTATTAATTTTTTTTTTAAAGAAAAAATTTATTTTTCCCCTAAGTAAAAAAATTGTTACGAAATTTGTTTATTTTATAACTTCTTTTGATTCGAAACTGGAAAAAAGAAATTTTTCCTAAATTCAAAAGAAATATATATTTAAAAAAAATATTTTTGGTACAAAAATCTTAATTGTTGTCAATCTAATCTTTAAGTAAATTTTCTAAAAAACTATTATTAACAAAAAATGATATAAATAATAAAAAAAATTATTTTTTTAGCTGAAACAGCGCCGAATTTTGGTGATCAAAAAGAGGGAAAAATCTGGGGCCCTATTGAAAGGGCCCCCCAACAGGAAGTGGCCGCCCTTAGGCGGATTAAGGGGCAGGTGAGTTTTTCTCTTTCTATTTTTTAATTTTTTTTTCCCTACGACTGTTTGGTAATTAACAAATACAATTAATAAATACAATATAAAAATAAAATTCTAATTAAAAAGAATTTAAATTGAATAATAAATAAATAAATAAATAAATAAAAATTTTGTCTAGTAGGGTCAAAAGTATCATTTTTCCCTCTAGTGTAAAAAAAACCTCTTTTATAAAGCTTTAAATTTTGAATTTTTCTCTCTAGTGTGGACAAAGGATGTTTCCTCTAGTGTCGAAAGGAGAAAATTTCCCCTCTAGTGTAATAAAGCCTTCTTAAAAAAACTTTTGAAGAAATTAAAATTTTTCTCCCTAGTTCGAAAAAAGAACACTTTGCCCACTAGTGGCAAAAGAAACAATTTTTCCATCTAGTGTAAAAAAGCCTTTTTTCGAAAACTGTTAAAAAATTTAAATTTAAATATAATTGGACATTTTTTTTAATTGGGTAATTTTTTTTATCATTTATTTTCATTCTCATTAATTTTTATTAATTTTTATTAATTTTCTTCATAAGATAATCGAATTTGATAATTTATTTTTTCGATTATCTTTCGAAATAGGATATTTGTAAAATATTGAGTCGTAGTCTTCTTTTTTTCCTCTCTTTTTTTTCCTTCTTTCTTTCTTTCCAATGGTTATATGACTGAATTTTGTAGTAGTCTAGTTTTCAGTATATACGCGTGATAAAAAAGTAACGAAAGTACAAATCCAAGTTAATACGGTTATAAAGAATGATACGGCATGAAGGAAATGGAATTCCAGCTTAACGGATTTTCTCATTATAGCAAGAGATCGCAAGAGCGTTCCTTTACCTCCCCCTACCACCATAGTTATATAGCATTAAATGGATTAAGAAAAAAATCTAGCGAAAGGCTTCTCTTTTCTAGTATAGGAAAAATTTGTTCTCACAACGTGAATTTAATGTTCTGAAAAATAAATTTTCTCTCTTAATTTAAATTTCAACCACATATTTTGGAGAATGAATTAAAAAAAAACTCGAGAGGAAATAAAAAAAAATGCGAATGAACCAAAATTGTACGTTAATAATCTAGAGCGTATAAATTTCTCTGTACATCTTTTGCAATTTTTTTTTGTAGTTCTTTTTTTCGTTTCTTTTTCGATAATATTTTTAATTTAATATTCTCTTTATTTTTTACTTTTTTGATAAAAAAAAAATTATCCCCTGTTAGCCTAAATTTCTTCACAGAAATAATAAAATTGATAGAAATAAAAAATAAAAAATAGAAATAAAAAAATTTTTCAATAAATAAATAAATGTAATATAATAAATAAGTAATAAAAATAATGGAAAAATAATGAAATAAATAAATAATAAAAATAAAAAATACTTTTAATAAACAGTTAAGTAACTCAAACTAATTAAAGTAATTTATTTAAATAATTCACTTTAAAAAATTATTACTATTTATTGAACAAGAAAATCGGATAGAAAAAAATTTACTAACAGAAAAGAATAATGTTAAAGTGAATAGTGCGTGAAATGGAAATTTAAAAAACAATATCATATTGACTTGTCTTGTACATTGTTTATAGTAGTGCCAAGAGGCTGAAAATTTATTTTTCATATTGATATTATGATCGGTTGTCACACATATGTATACATGTTTGTATATATATCGATATCGACACGAGGAGAAAAAATTAATACGAGATAACAAAGTTTTATTGTCATCGTATACAGTGACAGTGGGCAGTAAACTTGTTCGGGAAAAACGCGCAAAAAAAAAAAAGAAAAAAAAAATTGGTCAGAGAAATCAATTATTATGGATTCAATCGTTTCCTCTCGCCAACCATTCCGCTGAGCAAATTGAGTCGGTTCAACTTGAAATGAAATTGAAGTTTATGACCGTAATCAACTATAGTTTCATTTTCTCCCCTCCAAAAAAAAAAGTTTATTAAGTTTATTCTCATTTCAATATATAGACATTTGGTATTGTATTTGAAAAACAGTTTTTTCAACTTAAAATATGAGTGAAATAAAGTGAATATGTTATCTTTATTTAATTTTTGGGAAAATTTTAGTTTAATTTTTTCTTTTTTAAATTTTATTTCTTTTTTTTTTAATTATTTTTGTTAACATTTTGTTTAATTTTTTCTTTTTTAAATTTTATTTCTTTTTTTTTTAATTATTTTTGTTAACATTTTGTTTAATTTTTTCTTTTTTTAAATTTTATTTCGTTTTTTCTTCTTTAATTTTAATTCTCTTTTTTCATTTTAATCCATTTTTATTTAATTTTTTTCATTTTTATTTCGTTTTCACTTCATCTTCATTTTCAATTCATTTTTATTTAAATTTTATATTCAATTATTTTATCAATTTGAATTCTTGATTCATTTTAATTGAATGACAAAACTTTTGAAGACGTGACAGTGTATAATTTTTTGATAAATTAAAATAAATTAACTAAAAAGTTTACAAAATTGCAAAGAGTTATAACAATAAAAATTTGTAATGAACGTCTTCAAAAACATTATAACTTTTTTTACAATTAATTCATTATAGAAGAATTTCAATAAATAGTCTATAATATATAAAAATAATAAATGAACCTTGTAAAAAACAATTTTTCCCCCTAGTGCAAAAAAGTCTTTTTTATAAACCTTATAAAAATTTGAATATAAATATTAATGCTTTTCAATATAATTTTTCGGTTAATTAAAATAATTACAAAATATTATAAATCTAAAACAATTAAAATTAGAAATTTTTCTTCTCTGTTTGTACATAATTTTATTTTATTCGTTTGCTCTCTTTTTTTTTTGCTTTAAACTAATTTTTACTCATTCAAAAAAAAAAAAAAAAAAAACAACAAAGTACTGGAAAATGAAACAGAAAATGTAAAAGCGGCACTAAAAGTAACTCCTCATATGCGAGACGCTCAGCTATTTTATGTACTTACGAGGCAAAAGTATCGCCGAGAAAAATAAAACGAACGTACAATAGCGTTCACTGTGAGAATAAAATGAATAATACTTGAACTTTTAGAATAAAAATCAATTGCGCACTTTCTTTTAACTTTTTTTGTTTCTTTTTAAAAAAAAAATCTAATCACTGTATTGATATGGAACTAGGCTTACAGTTATATATATGTATATATACATTATATACAGTGGCGTCATATCCCTGCGCTCACCATCTATAAATTAATTATATACGCTCGCCCAGGGCTTGTGCCTCACTGTGAATTCGGTTAATTTATCGTAAGGGCAATTTCATAATGAAATTTGATCCCTCAATTAAGCTAAAGCATACTTGTGGTTTACGAATTTCCATTGTGATTAAAGTTTAATCACAATCTCACGATATCCTTTGTGACTGGCTATCTTGAATATTAGAATATTTTCTGATTTTTAGAAAAAAAAAGAAAAAAAACGAAAAACAAAAACTAACTGTTGTGAATTATACCTTACTGGAAAAAAACAATAATTTTATTCATTATCTCTCCCCCCCCCCTTGTTAAATGTAAATTTATAGATTTTTGGGCCCCCTGCCCCCCTAAATTGGCCCCTTTAGGAACAATTATTTTTTTCACTTTCAATTATTATCTTTTTTATCAATTATTTTATGTAGTATCAATAATAATTGATATTTTTTATACATTTTATAAATGTATTATTATTTTAATTTTTTATTTTAATTATTTTAATTATTTTAATTATTTTAATTTTATTATTTTAATTATTTTAATTATTATCAATTATTTTGAATAATTTCATAATCAAAATTTAAAAAATTCACTTATTAAGTACATAATTATTATTGTTTATATTTTCAAAAATTTTTAATATAATTCTTCGCAAGAATTCAATTATTTTCATAAATAATAACATTCTTCGGGAAGAATTCAATTATTTTTATAAACAGTAAAATTTTTTCCAAAAATTCAATTATTTTCTATAATTTTAATAAATATATTAAACCAATTCAATTATTTTTTTAAATAGTCTTTGCAAAAATTCAATTATTTTTAATAAAATTTAAATAAAATTTCATGGAGGAATTTACTTTTTTTTATTGATTTTTAATAATATTTTTCGAAAAAAATTCAATTATTTTCTAAAATTGTAATAAATCCTTTGAAACAGTTCAAGTTTTTTTAAAATTTTTCGAAAGAATCCAATTATTATCAAAAGTTTTAATAAATCCTTCGAAATAATTCAATTTTTTTTATAAGTAGTAAAATTTATCGCAAGAATTAAATTATTTTTTATGATTAATAAATTTCTTCAATTTTAATAAACTTCAGTAATCAAATATTTAGTTATAGGTAATTATTAACAGACACGATTAACTTATAAAAATTTTTAAAAATTCTTTGTCTAAATTATTTTCAAAATTCCCAATTGAAATTATTCAAAAAACTACATTATTTTGAAAAAAAACAAAAAATTCTTCCAAAGAATTGAATTATTTACAAAAACTAATAAAATTGAGAATATTTGAAAAGACAAATAATTTATAAAGAACGTTAGGAAACAAGAAAGCAAACAACAATTAACTTCAAACTGCGAACAGATTACCGGATTGCAACGATTATTAATATAGATTATTAAATATAGATTACTTATTTAGTAACAATTATTTTTTCACTTTCAATTATTACTTTTTTTTGTCAATTATTTTATGTAGTATCAATAATAATTGATAATTTCTATTCGTTTTTAGTCATTTCCTATTATTTTATTTGTTTATTTTTATCAATAATTTTATTTCGTAACAATTATTTTTTTCACTTTTAATTATTTTATTTACAGTAACAATTATTTTATTCATTTGCCAATATTTTATTAATTATTAATTATCAATTATTTTATTTGACATAAAAATAATTATATTTATTTCCAATTTTTTCACTTATTATAGAATATTATTCGAATTAATTAAATTTGATTCAAATGAAAAAAAAGTTTTAGTAAAAAATTGAGTTCTTTTTTTTGGCTCGAG